GAGGAGCGAGGAGGCGGAGGAGGAGGCGGAAGAGGAGAAGGAGGAGGAGGAGGAGGCGGAGGCGGAGGAGGAGGAGGAGGAGGAGGAGATGGAGGAGGAGATGGAGGAGGAGAGGAGGAGATGGAGGAGGAGGAGGAGGAGGAGGAGGAGGAGGAGGAGGAGGAGGAGGAGGAGGAGATTGAGGAGGAAGAGGAGGAGGAGGAGGAGGAGGAAAAGGGGTAGGAGGAAGAGGAGGAGGAGGAGGAGGAGGAAGAGGAGGAGGAGGAGGAGGAGGAAGATATTGAGGAGGAGGAGGAGGAGGAGGAAAAATAGGAAGAGAAGGGACGGGGGGTAGGAGAAGAAGGGAAATGAGGCCGTCTCGGGGCTCTCTTGAAACCCTTCTCTTTGCACTCCCTTGTGCGCCACCATATCGGCTTACAAGGTCTCTTGGGTCATATCGGCGCGCAGGCGACGGGCGCCCCCTGGCCCCCGTAGAAGGAAAGAGAACTTGCTCTCTCACAGCACGGGTCCCCCCATTTTACTTCGTGTCTCTGTTTTTCATAGAGTCGTTCCCGTACATTCCATGATGGCAGCGGGGCTTCTGGTTGAGATCCACGAGCGGAGTCAGGACGATTCCCCTGTCATTCGATTCTCGGGTGGCATACTCTTTTCTCTTATCCCGTTCTTCCCGCTCCCCACCATCTTGCACCGAACGCCGCCATGGATTCTCGAGACGATGCTCAGCATCAAGAGTATGAACTTTCATCTAATCCTTGGCTACAGCCAGAGCAGGATCCTTGGGCAGGAGCTGGAGGACGAGAAGACGTTCCCAGGGAAGGTGATGTCAATGTGGGCTGGTCAGATCAAAAGTGAACCCGCTTCACACCCCGGACCTGAGACACAACCCAACACGCAACTATCTTCATCAGGTTGGACTGCGCGGGGACGTGGTTCGCCGGTTGCGCCAAATCGGCGGAGCACGTCTCTGCGAGGACAGGCTAAGCCATTATTCCTTTCGCTCCGATCGCCAGAGGGGACGACTTCCTGAACATTCCCAGGCCCCAAAGATACCAAACGACCGACCTCCCACTTGGAATGGACAATATCCTGATACTCGTCTAGAGCCTTTCAAGAAAGAGGAGCTGCAGATGTGGCTCGCTACTACCAGAACTCCGAAAGCACACAGCGGATACCTCATCAATCGCTATGCCAAAAACGGCATCATTTTTTCATCAATGAACTCACCGAAGAGCAGCTGTCTTCAGGCGGCGGCGGGCAGGTTCTGGTCAAGCATATTAAGAAAGCTTGTGCCGAATATCAAGACTGCAGGATGCCGAAGGCTTTTGAGAAGTTTTTCTGTGTGTGAAGACCGCTCATACCAACGTTCTATCCCTATATCCTGCTATCCTCCTGCTACCGCGTGCGCGGGGGGAAAGGAGTCTCCTCTATCCTCCCAAGATCAACCTCTACCTACGGACCCTATGGTAGGTTAGATTCTTGGGTTGTCAACGTCAGTGCGCAGGTTATTCGCCTATTCTATCACGCTCTCCGTTGCGACACCCCGCGCCACCTTCGAGCCTGCCGCATGGCGCTGGGCCCCGCGGCGGCCAGTGCCTTTACGCGTGCTGGCTCTCCCGCGGTGCGCGAGCGTCGCGACGGCGCGGAAAGGGCAACGGGACAGAGCGTGACGCCGCAATCCCCCCTGCCAGGAGAAGGCAGCGCCGACGTTCGACTCGAAGCGGAGCTTGAGGCAGTCATGGACTCCTTCCAGTCTTCTGTGCAGGCGTACACCGCACTCACATCTATACCCCTGGGTGGGTGTATGTGCGGCCGTTTTTGCGCTGTCATGTGCGCGCATGTGCGCGGCATGTGCCAGTCATGTGCCAGGCCTGTGCGGCCCTTCTTGGATGGACTTCCTACTGTGCACGTCGTGCCCGGGCATGTGCGGGGGCATGTGCGCTGTGTTTTGATGTATCCATCATACGCGCATGCACGCACAGTCCGACGCACATGCGCGCACGTGCCTGCGCATGCGGGAGGTGTTCGAGAATCGCAGATCTGTCATCGGCACATGCACGCACATGCCTGTGCAACCTCTCTTCGGGAGGCCGCGCGGGCCCGCACATGCACGCACATGCGGTGAAGCGCGCGGGCGCACATGCGTGCACATCCCAATGCACATGCACGCTCATGCCCTAGGAGCTGTCTGGGCCCCCTGTGCCTCCAATGCCTCCTGGCCTTCGCAGAGCTAACCTGGGGCGCGCCAGGCCTTCCTGAAAGAGTTTGTTGTGCGTTTAGACTCGCCCGCTGCTGGCGGTGGCGGTTCTTCGCCCGGTTCGTGAGCTGGCATGTGCCTGCATGTGTGGCCCCTTCCGGACCACAATTTCAAAGTGAGCACTATAGAAGTGAGCGCTATAGAAGTGAGTCCGGTGTAGTCGCACACCCTGGGGTCTGGGCGGGCGGCGCAGTCGATCGTTCAGTCACTTGGGGCCCCTTCAATTCAGAACCCTCGCCGGTGGGAGTGCCAGCGGAGGCCCTCGGAGCCACCGCTGGATTCGCTTCGCCTTCTCCCCCATCCGTCGCCGGCTGGAACATCCGCGGCGGCGCGAGCGAAACGTCCCCACCCGGCGCTTCCGCGCGCCGCCGCCCCCGCTGGGGCGCCGGAGGTCCTTCGAGCCTCGCTTCGGTTCCCGCGTCTGAACATGCGTGAGCCATCAGGGGTCGTAGTGGAACGACCTCGCAGCGAAGAGCCCCCGATCGGTATCATCTCCAGTCTCGGCATAGGGGCTCCGGCCGCAGCCCCTCGCAGACGCGCTCGCGGCAGAATTCCCAGCGGCGCGACATGCCGCCGCGCGCGTCGCCCTCCGCCGATGAATTGGCAGAGCTCAGAGACCAGTGTGGAACTTGCACGACCCAACGGTTGTCGGGTCTTGCTGCCGCAGTCGCCGATCACGCGACAAAGACGGCAAACGCGGGGCAAGAAATCCAGCGCGCTCTTCTCCTTGTTGACGCTCGGATCGCCGAAGATCGATTGATCTACAATGAGGTCCGATATCAAGTTGACCGTGCGGAGTCACGCCGAGGCGCCGACTCCACTGCGATCCAGACGCTCCGCGACTACTTCTTCGCCAAGGGGGCGCAGCTCGCGGGCGCTGGGGATGCGGGCGCTGCCGCCGTCAGGACTCTACGCGACGAGATCCTAACATTACGGCAGGTCCCTGCCACTGAGGTGCATAGGACTACGGATCAGCGGCCCTGGGGTGACCTCGCTGCGCTTCGTGATCACGTTGATGTGACCGCGGCCAACCT